AAATCGGGATTTTTCTCTTGGCCTCGCAGTGCGGACGACTGGATTGGGGGTCTCCCAGATGGGGAATTTAGAGAATTTCCCATTGGATTAAGGGGGGCTTGTGCAACCAGATTTCTTTGGAATCCTCAGATTCGGGGTTTTAAATCAGAATTTTGCGTATCTCTGTCTGGGCATTTAACCTCTGTTTCCTTAATTTCACGGCCTGGGAGGAAAAGTCCATCCTACATTCCTGATCAGGTGAAAAATGTAGATCTTAATGAACTGAGGCATTTTAAGTGCCTTTAATTATCTGGTCCAACTCTTCCCAAACTCTCCTTACTTGCAGGCTTTCCGAACACGCTGGGAATTTCTTAAAGGGTGCAAGGATCAATTCAAAGGAAAGGACTCTCCCCCCAAGGCCTGAATTGAAACAATTAAACAATTAATGAGTTTCAGTCGAACTTAATTGAAGTTGTGCTCCGTTTTTAACAGGAAAATCCATGAGTCCGGGCAAGAAAGGAAACTCCTGCCTGTCTATTGGATGGTGGTTCCACCCACACACGGCCCAAACTCCACGAGCCGTGACAAAAATCCCGACGGAGAGACTTGGGATGGGACACTGGAAACCTCGGGGTATGAGGAAGATGCCAGGAATTCATCTGTTGCTGAAGCAGAAAGGAGCAAGGAACAAGAGGAATTCCAGGAAGCTGAAGGAGGGAACGAAGATGGAGGTGGAATGAGTGTAAAGGGCGAGGAGCAGGGAGGCTATGACACAGGATACTCGGAAGTGGCAGGAAGCAGGGACAACGAGGAATGTTCTGAGGAGGAGGAGGAGGAGGATGAAGCCTCAACGGAGAAGGACAGCAAAGAGCCTGAACCAGGGTTCAAACTAAAGAAGGCCGGTAAAAGTGCGGCCAACAAGAAATCCATCTACGTGATCCACTGCGACAAGTGCCAGGAGCAGTTTGTTTCCCGGAAAAAATACGTGGATCACTGCCGGGACGTGCACCAGAGCCTGCCGGGCAAGGCGTACCGCTGCGAGGTGTGCAGCAAGGCCTTCGCCAGCTACACCAGCTGCAAGGAGCACCGCGCCTGCGTGCACAGCGAGGAGAGGAGGTTCTCCTGCGGCCTCTGCCAGGCCACCTTCAAGAGGAAGCGGGACGTGAGGACCCACTCCGTGCGGAAGCACGAGGGAAGGGCCAAGCGGCCGCTGTGCTCCGTGTGCGGCAAGATGCTGAGCTCGCGCACGGCACTGGTGTTCCACATGCGCACCCACACCGGAGAGAAGCCCTACGAGTGCGGCGTGTGCCCCTCCCGGTTTGCTCAGCCTTCCCAGCTCAAGATCCACACCAGGTCAGACCCCAGGAACGCCAGGATCTCGCGTGCAGCGTGATTAATTCCCTTGCGCAAAGGCTTTGGCTCCGCGCCGCGTCTCCCGCGGTCGGGATTTCGACGTGGATGCCCTGTCCGAACTCGCAAGGAATAGCTGTCATGGAGACAGGCTCTCAAATCCCACGTTGCCCCTCAGTGATGAAGAGTGAGTCAGGGATCCTGGAGATCCTGTGCCGCGCTCGCTCTTGGAGCAAGGAATTGCCATGGGATTTCATCTCCGTGTGCAACTCCAAATCCGTGCCGCTCAGCCCGAGCTTGACGGGATGAGTTGCTCCCTGGTGGTGTCTGTGCTGGATGTGTCCTCTCCCAGGAGAGGGTGAATCATCCCATGGAATTTCCCATCTTTCTCCATGATAATACTTTGTCCTGACAGCTCAAAATCAGGAACGACTTTGGACGTCATCCTGTCTGAGTTGGAATAAGTTAAGACCAAAGATTAGGCTCAGATTTTTCTGATTCTCTGTCATTTTCCCTTCTTTCTCCTTTCCCATGCTCTCAGCTGTCTGGGAAAAAAAGGTGGATTTTGTGGGGCCTGAAATTGAGGAAAAGGTAAATTTTAAATGGGAATTTTCGGTTTTAAAAGGTAAACTTTAAATGGGAATTTTACTCCCAGAGCATAGCACCTGTACCTGGAAACACTCAGTTTTCTGAGGGGGCAGAATTTCCTTTTCCCACCGCATCTAAAACCCAAAAACATCGTTTCAAATCCAGTCTTTTAGGGACCAAGACCTAATTAATTACTAATCATTGGTGTTTTGTCCCCATTAGATCCCACACTGGGGAGAAGCCCTACATTTGTGAGGACTGCGGCGCTTCCTTTGCCGACAAAGGAAAACTGACAGGCCACAAAAGGACGCACACAGGTGGGAATTAAATATTTTTATTTTTTTGGTAATTCATCCAAGAGTATCCAAGTACCAGGAAGGAATTCATAGGGGTAGAAGGACTTTTAGCCTGGAGAAAAGGAGGGTCTGGAGGGACTTTGTTGCTTTCCACAATTCCCTGTCAAGAGCCAGGGAAAATTTGGGCTCTGCTTCCAAGGAGCAAGGGATAGGACTGTCCTCAAGTGGTGGTTCAGGGGAGGTTCAGCTTGGGTATCAGGAAGAATTCCTTCATGGAAAGGATTATCAGGCATTGGAATGGGATGGAATCCCAGGGGACAACTGGATGTGGCACTGGTTGCCAAGGTGGGGATCAGGCACAGGTTGGACTCGATGACCTTGGAGGTCTTTTCCAGCCTGAGCTCTGTGATTTGCAGAAGGACCAAATTCCCCTGGGAGAATTCCTGATGCCCGGTTTCTGTTCCCTCAGGAGAGCGGCTCTTCAGGTGTGATGTGTGTGGGAAGCACTTTGCCACCAACGAGTACCTCAAGTGCCACAAGCGCTGTCACCTGGGAGCCAAACCCTACAGGTGCGAGGTTTGTGGGAAAACCTTCGGCCTCAGAGCCTCCCTGGCCCAGCACAGCAACGTCCATGCAGGTAATTCCAGGGCTGGGAAAAGGAACGGTGGCCTTGTGGCACTCCCCAGTGTGGATGGGGACGTTTCAGCCCGTTGGTGAATTAGGGGGTCCTGGAATGATCAGGGTTGGAAAAGAGCTCCAAGGCCATCGAATCCAAGCTGTGCCCAATCCCCACCTTGTCACCAGCCCAGAGCGCTGGGTGCCACGTCCAGGCCTTCCAGGGACGGGAATTACGTTGGGATTCAGGGCTCATCCTGACCCTGGCTCATGGGAGTGTTGTGTCAAAAAACGGAGGCCTGGATTGTGCAGCTGAAGGAATTTGGGGCAGAGCATGGTGGTGGGAAGTAATTATCACGGAATGGTTGGGATTTGAAGGGACTTTAGGGATTATCCCCTGCCAAGGACACCCTCCACTCTCCCAGGTTGTTCCAAGCGTTTCCTTGGGCACTTCCAGGGAAAAGGCTCTTAGCCTGCTGCTCTCTGCTAAGCCCACACTTGCTGGGATTGTTATTCCCAGAGACCCGTCCCTATTTCTGCGAGCAGTGTGGGAAGGCCTTCACGCAGCAGGGAGCGCTGCGGCGCCACCAGCGCATCCACACCGGCGAGAAGCCCTACAAGTGCCGCGCCTGCGACAGGACCTTCACCGACATGTCCACCCTGCGCCGGCACGTGGCGGTAGGACATCCCACGGGAGCTTCCCGCCCCTCAGCGCCACCCCGGCAGCGGGAATTTCCAGCCTTTTGGAGGGGACAGTGCTAGGGGTGGGTTTCAGGGCAGCGCCATCCTCTAAATCTGTCCCTGAGGTTTGTGTGGGGTTTTCCTCCCCCAATCCGGTTATTTCCCAATCCAAGGCGGGGGGAACATGGCTGGAAGTGGCTGGACACGGCACTTCCTGATGGCCGTCAGCTCCGAGATCTTCTCCCGGAAGATTCCATGAAAAACGTGATTTTAGGATTTTTATGAGTTAACTGCAGGGTCTCTGATGCTTTAACCTTCATTCCAGCCCTCGTGCCGCACATTAACAGGGATTTCCAGCATTCCGCTGGAAAACGCTGAGCTCGGCTCTTCTCAGAGACCTCCAGGTCCTGGAAGTGACAGCAGAGGCAGAACAGGAGGTTCCCTTCCAGCTCCAAGTCAGTGTTTTGCCTGTGTGCTGAAATTCCAGCTGATTTTGGAAGCGTTCCACAGCAGCACAGCCAGGAATTCAGCACACAGTTGGCAAAAGAGCCTTGTTTGTGTTTGAGCTGAGACTTGGATCCTGGAGTTATCCCAAAATTGTTGGATTTAGCTCTGGATGAAGTGAAATACTTGGCAGTTCAGAATCAGATCTAACTTGTTTTCCTGTCCCACTCCCTTTTTTTTTTTTTTTTTTTTTTTCTCCTCCCCCCAGATCCATGACCGGAATGCTCACTGGAGAAGCTTCTTGATCGACCTCACCCAAAAAAAAGATCACAACTGGTCCAAAATCGAGACTTTAGCGGAGGCGCAGCCGGGAAGAGATCCCGTGCCGGAAATTTGGTCCCTTGGCCACGGGAAGCTCCATAAACCTGAAGGTGCTAAAGCAGCAGCTGCAGGAGCAGCAGCACAAGTGACACCTGGCCTTGGGGACACCGGGGACACTGACCCCTCCGTCTTGTACTTGTAAAATCCGTCTGAGCCCCAAAAATGGGCGGTTTGAGGCCCAGTGGTGGGAATTGCCCTTTGGAGCTCAGGGAATCGTCCACCTGCCTCGGGAGCTGCCCTGCAGGTGCTAAAGGGGTAATTCCTCACGAGGGTGTTTACTCCGCTGAAATGTTTGCCATCTCTCCAGAGGTTTTTTTCTCCCAAAGCTGTGGGAGCATCCCATTGGGAATGGGCAGAGCGGGGGTGGGGGGGGGGGGGGGGGGGGGGGGTGCGTTTATACAAACACAGCGCGCTGTAAATCCTCAAGGCCTCCTTAAATAAAGCTGTCAGTGCCGCCCTGCCCGTCCCTCCTTCACTGGCCCAGATTTCCCTGGGGAAAACGCCGGGAATTTGGGAATGCCGGGGGCGGGCTAGGGCGCGTTGCCTAGCAGCGCGCGGCGCGCTGAGTGACGTCACTTCCGGGGTCGTGGAGCGTCAGCGCTTCCGGCCGCGCCCGGAGCTGAGCGGGAGCAGCGGCCGGGAAGAGGCCGGGAACAAACCGGGAACGAGCCGGGAATAAACCGGGGACAAACCGGGAACGGGCCGGGAGCCGTGAGTGCGGCGGCCATGGCGGGCTGGCCCCGCCCGCCTTCTTTTCCTCTCCTCTTTCCGCCTTATTCCCCCCCTTCCTCCTCCTCTTTTTGCCCGCTTTTTTTCCCCTCCTCTTTCCCCACCCTTCTTCTCCCATCCCTTTTCTTCTACCCCCCGCTTCCCCTCCTTGTTTGCCCCCTTTTCTCTCCCTATTTCTTTCCCCCCACCCCAGTATTCCCATGGGATCCAGGGTCCTTTGGGAATTGGGATTGGAAGTGGGCACCGTGGGGTTCGCCGGGTTCAGCAGCATGGGAATCCTCTCCCCATTTTCCTTTTGGCCTGGAGCTTTTTGCCTCTTTGCAGCCAGTTTTGCCTCTGGAACGGGAGGTATTCCTGGGAAACGGACAGTGCTCAAATGGGAATTAGAGGAGTAGTTGTGCAGTAACGCGGGAAGCAGTTAAAAATCATTTTATCGGGGTAAAAAGGTGGCGTTTCGGTGTCGCTGATTGTTTATAAAGCGTTGGGTGAGACATCACTCAATTCCCGGGAAACTGAAAGAAATTCCTCGGATTCTGGCAGGAAGAGGGTTAGACTCCAGAGATTCCTGAGAGCACCTTTAAATCCGTAGAAATCTGGTTTGTTCTGGGGTCAGACGGTTGGGAAAACACCCCAAAACTTCCTCTCTTTTACAAACTCTGGAGCAACTTCAAACATTCCTGGGAAACAGGGCCCGATGGGGAAGGTTGGAAATGGGCTTTCAAAAAGCGCAGGCTGTGAGTCCGTTTGGAGGAATTCCTAATCATTTTTGGGATTTTCAGTGTGTCAGATAGGAGCATGGAATTTTCTGTGGAAACCGTTTTCAGGCGGTTCTTTAGGACTGAGGTTAACTTTTGCTTAATCTTGGCTTCCTTTTGTTGCCTGCTGAGGCCGGGAATCGTTCCTGAATTCCAAGTGCCTTGACCTGGGTCCATCCTTGTTTGCTGTCCCAGCTGCTGGCAGCCCAAAGGGTTTAATGGAAAACGAGGGTTGGGATTTAAGCTCGGCATCCCTCGCTCCGTGGTTCTGTTGAGGACTTGGAGGTCTGAGGGTTGGATTAAATCATCTCAGAGGTCTTCCCAATCCCAAGAATTCCGAGAGGCTCAAACCCCTAAGGGTTTCATGGAACCTTAGCTCAGCTTCCCTCGCTCCGTGGTTCTGTTGAGGATTTGGAGGCCTGGGGTGGGATCGAATCGTCTCGGAGCTCTTCCCAACCCCAGGCCGCCTCGGGCCCGCCTCCCTGACGCGGGGGGTCTCGTTCCCAGGGAGAAGAAGGATGGAAAGCGCCCCCGTGCTGCTGGAATCCAAGTCCTCCCCCATCAACCTGCTGAACGAGATGCAGCAGCTGCGGCTGCTGGGCCACCTGTGCGACGTCACGGTCAGCGTGGAGTACCAGGGCGTGCGCGCCGAGTTCCCGGCGCACAAGGCCGTGCTGGCCGCCACCAGCAAGTTCTTCAAGGAGGTTTTCCTCAACGAGAAGCCCGTGGACGGCCCCCGGAGCAGCGTGTTCCTCAACGAGGTGCAGGTGGCGGATTTCGCCTCCTTCCTGGAGTTCGTGTACACGGCGCGCGTGGAGGTGGAGGAGGACAGGGTGCAGCGCATGCTGGAGATCGCCGAGAAGCTCAAGTGCCTGGACCTCTCCGAGACCTGCTTCCAGCTCAAGAGGCAGATGCTGGAATCCGTGCTGCTGGAGCTGCAGAGCTTCTCGGAGTCGCAGAATTCCGAGGAGGAGAGCGCCGCCGCGCCCGAGCGGGAGCCTCCGGACTCTTCCGCGGGCGTGCCCGGCTGCGGGGAGCCTCCCGAGGCCGCCAAAGCCAAGGAGAAGGCGGACAAGAAGAAGGAGGCGCCGAAGGCTCCTTACGCCAAGATCCGCAGGGCGAGCGGGCGGCTGGCGGGCAGGAAGGTCTTTGTGGAGATCCCGAAGAAGAAATACACGCGGCGGCTGCGCGAGCAGCAGCGGAGCTCCGAGGAGGAGACGCCGCCAGAGGCGGAGCGGGAGGAGCGCTCCGGCACGGCCGAGGGGAGCTCCGCGGAGAAGGAAGACGACAGGAAGCGGCGCGGCGGAGGCGCCGCCGGCGGTGGCGGCGGCGGCGCCTTCAAGTGCGCCACGTGCCAGAAGGAATTCCTGTACGAGAAGAGCTTCCTGAAGCACGTGCAGCAGAGCCACGGCGGCGCGGCTTCGGCGGCGTCGTCGACGCCCGAGTTCCGCTGCGAGACGTGCGCGCAGACCTTCGCCAACCGCTGCAACCTGCGCAGCCACCAGCGGCACGTGCACAGCAGCGAGCGGCGCTTCCCGTGCGAGCTGTGCGCCAAGCGCTTCAAGCGCGGCAAGGACGTGCGGCGCCACGTGCTGCAGGTGCACGAGGGCGGCGGCGAGCGCCACCAGTGCCCCCAGTGCGGCAAGGGGCTCAGCTCGCGCACGGCGCTGCGCCTGCACGAGAGGACGCACACGGGGCACAAGCCCTACGGCTGCCCCGAGTGCCAGGCCAAGTTCTCGCAGCCCTCCGCGCTCAAGACGCACATGAGGTGAGGGCGACGGCGGAGCTGCCCGCCCCCGCGGATCGCGGCGCCGCCCTCCGGGCTTCCCAGGCCCCTGTTTTGTCCTTCGGGGCCTCATAAATCTCTGTTTTCTCTTTTAGGGCCTTCCACATGCCCGTTTTCTGTTTTAGGGCCTCCCAGGTCCCTGTTTTGTCCCTCAGGGCTTCCCAGATCCCTGTTTTGTCCCTCAGGGCCTCCCAGATCCCTATTTTTCCTTTTAGGGCTTCCCAGATCCCTGTTTCCTCTTTCAGGGCCTCCCAGATCCCTGTTTTGTCCTTCAGGGCCTTCCACATCCCTGTTGTCTGTTTTAGGGCCTCCCAGATCCCTGTTTTGTCCTTCAGGGCCTCCTAAATCCCTATTTTCTCTTTTAGGGCTTCCCAGATCCCTGTTTCCTCTTTCAGGGCCTCCTAGATCCCTGTTTTATCTTTCAGGGCCTCCTAAATCCCTATTTTCTCTTTCAGGGCTTCCCAGATCCCTGTTTCCTCTTTCAGGGCCTCCTAAATCCCTATTTTTTCTCTTAGGGCTTCCCAGATCCCTGTTTCCTCTTTCAGGGCCTCCCAGATCCCTGTTTCCTCTTTTAGGGCCTCCTAGATCCCTGTTTTATCTTTTAGGGCCTCCTAAATCCCTATTTTCTCTTTCAGGGCCTCCCAGGTCCCTGTTTTGTCCTTCAGGGCCTTCCACATCCCTGTTTTATCTTTTAGGGCCTTCCACATCCCTGTTTTCTCCCTTAGAGCTTCCCAAGATCCCTGTTTTCTCTTTCAGGGCCTCCTAAATCCCTATTTTCTCTTTTAGGGCTTCCCAGATCCCTGTTTCCTCCTTCAGGGCTTCCCAAATTCCTGTTTGCTTTCAGGGCTTTCCAAGTCCCTATTTTTTGTGGGGTGCAACCCTCAGGAGCTCCCAAATATTTGTTTTCTCTTCCCAGGGCCTCCCAGATTCCCATTTTCTCTTGCAGGGCATCCCAAATTCCCATTTTCTTGTTCAGGACATCCCAAATCGTTGTTTTCTCTTCATCCCAAATTCCCATTTTCTCCTCATACCCAGCTGGGATTCCTCCAGCACATCCTTTGGGTCAACACAAAGTGTGGAAATATTTGGGAAGGATCTGTGGAAGGATTTCCAATGGGAAAAGGCTGAATTTGGGGGGAGAAACAGGGAAAATAATGGATCTGGGAATGGGACAGCTGGGTTTTATCTGTCCCTGGGTGTTTTTATCAGGGAAAAAAAAATCATCCCTGAGGGGTTTTAATCTGATTTTGTCAGTATTTTATCTACCTCGGAGCATTTTGAGAAGGTAAAAATCATCCCTGAGGGGTTTTAATCTGATTTTATCCATTTTGTCTTCCTGAGGGCATTTTTATCAGGGCAGAAGGGGTTTAACCTGATTTTATCTCTTTTTTTATCTGTCTCAGGGCAGAGCCCTTTTCATGAGGGCAAAAATCATCTCTGAGGGGGTTAAACCTGATTTTTTTCCTGTTCCCAGAGCCCTGCTCAGGAATTTTGGACGCTGGAAATTCGACATTGCCTTAATTTGGGCGTGGTGGGGATTTCTCATGCTAGTCTACAAATGAAAAAATTTTTAAAAAGCCCTCACAACTCTTCATATAACTCATCAACAAAACACTGCCACAAAAGTAATAGCAACAAAATTTACCTTGCATTATTAAATTATCCAAGTGTTTATTCAATTCACTTTCCAAATCACATTTTTTTTCCAAACAAAATTAAGTTTTTAATAAAAACTAAAAATCCATTTCAACTATTAACCTAAAAAAAAGGTCTTTTTTTTTATGTCTCCACAAATACTAGTCCAAAATAAATTCTTTCAAAAAATATGAAACCATCTTCTGTCCCACATACAAAAGCTATAAATTTTAAGTTTTATGTCAATACAAAAAATACAAAAGTCATTAACATTATAAAACATTATTGCCAAAAACGTAATACAAATAATATTGCAATTCAAAATTTTATACAAAATATAAAACTTTTTAAAAAAAAGTTAATTTAGTATATCACAATTAACCTTAAATTAAAAACAAAACAAAAAATCAAAACCATAAATAAATATTATAAAACATAAATAAAATATTGTATTTGTGCCTTATTACTTCATTGTTTGCTTTTAGTAACACAACCATACCCATAAATCAACCAAAAACCAATTTTTAAATAACCTTAACAAATACATCAAACCTAAACACCATTTATTTAACGAATTCAAATCCACAAAAGCCATTCTCAAGCTATTTAATCGATATACCAATAAACAATTAACCAATTCCAAAAAATATCTCTCCAAAGCTTTCTCAATTAATCCCACTAAATTAATTAAATCTCACTAAAAAATGAAATATTTTTCTTTTCAAACATCCTATAAACCTCAACAATTATAAAAAAAATTTAAAAATTAACATATATGTGCTAATTGTAATAATCATAATATTTGTGCCTTATCTACTTCAGTGTATCCAGCAAAGAATTAAAACTATCAAGCCAATGTTCATAATTCACTTGGGGATGGGTTTTGGCACCTTTTGGCTTCTCAGGAGAACCCCTTGAGAAGCTTTTCCTCACAATCCCAAAGGATTTGGGGCCACAACCTGCAGAGAATTTTCTAAATTTGGACGGAATTGTCGAAATTTCATTTTTCTACGTTGAAAAATTCATTTTTTTTTTTTTCTTTCTTTCCGTAACGTTTTTTGGCCGTGGGCGTCGCTCCAGCAGTGAGGATCCGTGGGAATGTTGGGGGGTTGAGGGAAAGGCTCGTGCTGGAGTTTGAAAATTCCCTTTTTTTTTTCCCCTTGCAGGATCCACACGGGGGAGAAGCCCTTTGTGTGTGATGAGTGTGGGGCCCGTTTCACCCAGAACCACATGCTCATCTACCACAGGCGCTGCCACACAGGTGAGCCTGGAAAACTGGGAAAACCCAACCCCACCCATTCCAGGGAAACTGCTGCCTTTGGAAAACGCTGCTTTTTATCTGTGTTCTCATGGATAAAACAAGGTGTTGTTGTCTCTTAGAGGAGATTTGCCTGCTCAGGGTTCCCATCCCATGGTTTTAAGCTGGGGGGGGTTGATTTAAATTGGATTTTGGGAAGAAATTCCTCTCCTGTGGGAGTGGTGAGGCTCTCCATGAGTTTTCCTAAAGAAGGTGTGGATTTCCCATCCCTGGAATTGATCCAGGCCGGGTTGGGAGTGGTTAAGGGAAGGTGTCCCTGTCCCTGGAATGGTTTGGAACTGGGTGACCTTTAAAGGTCCCCAGAGCAAGGGCACGCTCCAGAATTCCTGTGGGATATTTAAGGGCATTCCCGAACCTCTGCTGCTTCAATCCTCCTTTTTTTTTTTTTTTTTGCTCCCTTTTTTTAGGGGAAAGGCCTTTCATGTGTGAGACCTGTGGGAAGAGCTTTGCCTCCAAGGAATACTTGAAACACCACAACCGGATCCACACGGGATCCAAGCCCTTCAAGTGTGAGGTTTGCTTCCGGACCTTTGCCCAGCGGAATTCCCTGTACCAGCACATCAAAGTCCACACAGGTAGGATGTGCCCCTTTTCC